ATGATGATGATGATGATGATGATGATGATGATGATGATGATGATTCGGATGATGCTGATGATTCGGAAGATGATGATGATGATAAGGAGGAAGAGGACAAGTATGCGGTTATTACAACTGACAATAATGATGATGGTTGAAGCAGTCATCAGATAATGTGAATTTGCTGATGGAAATTCCGTCCTCTGGGCAAAGCCAAGCTTTGCTGAGAGGCTGAGAAGCTCTGAATGCCTGTTTCTTCCTTGTTGGGAATCTTAGCGGTGCGGACTTTGAGGGTGTTTCAAGCCGCAGACTCGTGAAATCCGCACCGGTGATGATTCCCAATAAGAGTGGAACAGATTTACAGTGCTTCTCGCTTTTCAACGGAAATTGTCTTAACTTACAGGACAAAATGTCAACTGAAAATTTGAAAGCCTCCTCGCGCTAGGAACAATGTGAACTTGTGTCGAAGCAACTGCCAACTCAGAGGGTCCGATCACATTTGCCTGGGGATCAACAGTCCGAAGTTAACAACTGCCACATCATATGTTCGATCCCTTCGGCAGTAATTCGAGAAATTAGGATTCCGTAAGTTTCACAAGAATTAGACAATAAAATCGAGATGGTTCACGCTTTCATTAGTAGGGAGAATGAAGTCATCAGGAGTATAAATCGAAAAAAAGACCGATCGGTACTGCATTTGTGGTGGTAGTAGAGATGAAGCTAACGGTAGACAGCCACAAATATGAAACGGAACTCCAAAGTTTGATCACCATGGTTAGTAGCGGAAAACCAGTGGAGAAGGGGAGTTTAGAAAAGCAAGTCTTGTACAGATGATAAGCGGGGGGATCACATGACATGTGTGCTACCGACCGCAGTGATGGATCTGTCCAGTAGTCTGAGTAACTGGCATGCCGGACAGCCGATTCGAGCGCAGGTTGAACCTTCGCACCCTGCACTTGTCAGTCCAACGTAGGCATAACAGAACTAAAAAAGGTTTCATAGGGATTTAATGAACAATCGGTGGATTTACGAAACCCCTCTGGAACGATGACTACCCAGCTGGTCCCAGATAATTTCCAACTGATTGCAGACAAATGGTTCTCCAAAAGCAATTCGTCCACAGGCTCATTAGGGCAGCTCCATCGAAAATAAGGCGGTCTAATATTTGAACAGGGACCAGCTGAACTCACTGACCAAGCAGGCAAGGCCAAAATAGGTAAGGAGAAGCTTGGTGCCGTTCTTGACTGCTATCGTCACCGGTACCCTGAAAACTGCCGTCGAATGAGCGATTTGGTGACGGCAGTTTGTACGTTGTGCAACGAAAATTTGAGCGAAACGATGTTAGTTCCTTAAGCATGAATAGTCTGATGAGGTGTATAAAATGACGCACTGGAGGCACTAGCAGCTACGAACCGAAAAGATTCTAAACGTGAAAGATTATCTTTCTATTATCTTTTGTTGGTGCCTTGTAAACTAACCGATACTGTAGAATTTCAGACGTGCTCAGACATACATCGAGTTGGTTCGTTTCTCACAAGGTCCTAGGTACTTTAGTCAGCACCGAGGGAACCTATTCGTTCTGACTTGGCCACGTACTGCGTATGCCAGTCGACCGACTTCCACGAAGGGCTCTTTTCGCGCAACCACGTGAAGGGTAGAAGAGAGCCAGAGGCGGTCAAATAATGACTTGAAAGTGAAGTGTAGAAGCCATTAACGGCAAACTCAGCTGCGCTAGTCACTGCCGTATTCCTGAATAGAGACCCCGAGACGGGTGATATCAATGGTTAGAGACATTGTCAGACATGGCCCAGTCGCGCCCTCAGTGGCGCTCGTGCATCCAAGCTATTGCCTTCAATGCATGGCTCCTTTTCCAACCCCCACATTTGGCAGCTCACTGACAGTGCTGGATCTATGCGCCAATTTATCAGCTCCCGCCTGCAATGTGCAGCTATCTAACCCACCTCCTCAGACCATCGGTGAACGAAAGTGTGGCAGCCACAACCACTGTACGACAAGTACGCGTTCATTACGGCTGACAATGATGAAGAGCTAAATGCAGATCATTCTACCTTCAAACTAAGAATGACTCGAGTAACGCAATTTCAGGATCAGAAAGGAAATACACGTGCCCCGTTATGAAGTTTTGAGAACTCAAAACCATACATATGACATTGCAGTTGGACACTAGATCCGTTTGATATTTACATATGGAGAAATTTTCCAATGTTTTCGCTTCGGTGTAACAACCGGCGCGAGCGATTTCGACAAAGAAATCGCCCCAGAAACGGTTTCTCCTCCTCTTTTGGCCTTGAACGTTTTTTTCTCTCTGAATTCTTTCGTCACTTTCAGGTCTCATTTTGTATGTATCAGTTCCACTGGGAGCTTATTTCTCAAACTTGCTTCCAGCATAACCTCGTCCAGAGCGTCAGCAAGTGCGTAGTAGGTCAACCCATTCCGATGCGCTTTTTCAACTCTTTCCTGAAGTTCTTCACTCGTCGGTGTTGGTGTGATTGGAATCTGTCGGTGTTGCTTCCGTTTCGGTAACATTTTGTTCCACTGAATCCATTGTTTCAAGCACCGGGGAGTGTGAAGACTCAACGATGCGTGGGTGTATCGACGACCACAAATATGGCACAAAGTTCCCGGGGGGTGACTTGGTCTTCGTACGAGTTTATTGTCCCAGGCCTGTTTGGCTTCCAGTTGTCTGCGGTGCAGTTCATCGGCGAGCTGACATGCTCTCATGTGTATGTCGATCGATGCTAACCCATAAAAGCGACTACAAATTGGGCAGACTTGGATAAGGGATTGGGAGGACTTCTTGCTTGAAACTGTCGATGTTTTTGGCTCTGTGTCTGACATAGTTATCGATTTGGTTAGCACTTCTTTAGTCGAGTCGGAAGAACTTAATCTGGTCATTCCTAAAGCTTTCGGTGCCGAATTTTGGTTCCCAATTCCAGTGCTCTTTTTGTTCCTCTCGCTTGCCAAGATGTTGCTTATCGATCCTGTCTGTTGGGTGTGCTTAGTGGGACAGTGAGATTCCCTGATTTTGTGTTTGTTCGAACGAGATCTTTCAAATGGGTAATTGGGGTTCATTTCTTTAAAAATTCACTTACATACTGACTGTGAATTACTGACTGGCTTATCTTGGAAACTGCAAATGCCAGAAATTGTGTTTTCAGTACCCATGATGATGAGTCGCTTCAATCAGCGCACATATTCGTTTTCGGTGGCCATCAAGCACCTCCCTAATGTGTCGCCAAAGTCACGTGCTTACGATCGATAATCTTTTGAAGTATCCACGTGCTGGATGGAGTGGCTGTTGTTCCTGGCAGTAGTGGTTTCTGCGAATAAGACCAGAAACTGGGTCAGGTAACGGGGCTCCATATATGAAGTAGCAGAACTGGGTTAAACAGGTGAATTTTTGTGGAAACGGCAGTGACGTAATGCCAGCCAACCAATTCCATTTTGAACAACCATCTACAGTGTCAGGATAAGAGGCTGTCAGATACACACAACCCATTGCTGATCCGATTGACGGATTTCATGAACCTTATACAGACAAAATCGCTCCTTATCGACTACAACCATAGTGGTCCACATCGTCGGCTATCCTCCACGGTGACAGGGCCATCCTAGAATTCATATGGTGGTCAAGGTTAGTTTGCAAATATCATCATCGTCCAAGCGTGAGAGGTGTTTAAACCACCATAGCCTTCGTCCTTGGGGAGTTGAGGTGGGCGACGGCACTTCTAGACCTTGTCGCCAGATACTTCCTCACGTGGCGATCTTCACACATTCTTTCGGAGGACCGGAGTCTCAAGCCCTCAACCCCGGACAGGCTACAGTACATGCTGAAGGGTTGTATGTTTGTGAGATTTGACCTCTGAGAGCAGCGTAATTGAAACGTCTTTCGGGTGTTCGACAATGGTTGTCTCAGGACCAGAGCTCATATAGGTTGATATCGAGGAATCCGCGACGAGGAAATCAGAAAACTAGTTTTCGATTGTGTTACAAGGACTTCCAATGAAGAATGTGTCTGTCACCAGAAGCTAGATTTTGTGAGGCCATGTGTTGCTCATGCCGAACCATCGTTTGCCGAAAAGTGCTGTTTTCTGTGTCCGATTCAATTGCGGAAGCATAAAGGTGTGCAACCTTTGGTCAGGCAGAGGAGTATGAAATAGCTTGCGAAAAGTTTGGGTGCTGTCGGTGCTACTGGCCTACTTCGTCTGGTTGACGATGCTTCAATATATGACTGCTCATCAATGTCACTGGCGTTCTTGTTGTCAGTTTCGACCCACATTGCCTGAATGAGTTTCTGGAGGTGTAAGCACTCTGGAATGATTGTGATAGGCCAGTGCTAAGTCCCTTCCATGTCCACTCTCATGCTTTTCCCCACAAAAACGCTTTCAAATAAATCATGATTGTCCGTCACACACTACTCATAAGTTGGTGAAAAACATCAGAAACGGGAGATACAGCGGACATTGACTTGGGTCTCCAGCTGAAAAAAATTAGTACACAATTGAGTGTTTCCTGTAATTTGGGTCCAAGCAGAACATAAGGTTGAGGTAGACTCGGGGACTTCGACTAGTTGCTGAGCCCCAGCACGGAGGGCGAAACCGGGCGTGGGCAGCAGCTTCATGAGTTGGAGGCAACATCATCGTACATGGTAGTGCAGTGGCACACCAGCTCATGGTTTTCACAAAACATCCTTTCTGATTGTATCCAACTGTTGCATATTCGTCTGTTTCCAGCCGAATTTCTCCAATTTCTTTTTCAAATCAGTTTCGGAGCATAGAAATTCCCTCTTGAGGATTGTGAAAGGCGACGAAGCATTCTGCCTACTCATGAGTAATCAGTCTCTCAAGAACAAACTTTTCAGGTCAAGGAAAGCGAAACTAAAAAACAGCGATTTCTTTGGTAGATGATGTGTGGGAGTACGTAATGCATGTCCCAGACACCGAAACCCAATAAGCGTCGTTGGTTGTTCGAACAACTCTGATTCGCGAAATAGACTCAGTTGCAAGCTAATTTGAGACTCACCTGGAACCCAGATGAATCTTTCGCCTGTGATGTTTCCAGGCAACTGAATGTGCTGCGCCAGGCCGCCTCGTGTTTTGGTCGCTACGAAATTCAAGATATCGCGATACATGTATATTTGTAATGTCCGGAGACATCACAAACAAGAGATTCAGCTGGGTTCCAGGGGAGTCTCTCGAAAAAAAAAAAAATCAATTTTCAAATGAGTGTATTTCTCGAAAAGAAGTAGAACATAAAGTTGCCGAAAACTCGAGGACTCTGCCCACCTGATGAGCCACAAAAAGGCCGAAACCGGTCGTGGGCTGTCGGAGAATTTTCAGCAACCTTATGAGTAGTGCATCACATATAGACTGTGATTCGTCCTTTCACCAGTTCTTGGTGGGTATCTGAAACCAACTACCTGCAGCTGTGCAGCGAAGGCACATGTCTACAGAGAATAATCAGCACCATCACCGACAGCGTGACATCAGTGTTCAACACTCATGCTCCATTACTGTACAACTATGATTTATTTGAAAGCCTTATTGTGAAGAAAAGAATAACATTGGACGGGAAGTGACATAGTGCATCATCATCATCA